TGAAGTTGGAATAACTTTGCAGCTGCACATAATGCGGACGCTAAGGAGGCATTAAGTACGGCTGCACAATTTGGAGAGAAGGTCATATTAAGATTATTGTGGGCAATAATGCACTTTGTGATTCGATTATAATGGAACTAATGGTACTGTGAGTCTACTAATATATATAAATATATATATAATAATTTTCGTTCAAGTTGAGAATACAAAAATTTGTAACAATATTTATAACAACAAGGGGAGCGTGTTGTTCTACAGAAGAAACAAGAAACAGTCACGCACACTAAATCAACACAGCACAGCCACAAGAGCAGGAATAATAACAATTAATTTAAATAGAAAGCAATTAATTTAAATAAGAAAAGCATCAGGAATAATTCTACCAGGGACAACCTAAATTTGTTTATGTCTGTGTGAGACTGTGTGGGTGAATGTGTCTGTATGTGTGTGCGCATAAGCCTGTTAAAGAATGTAGTGGTTAGTGAGAGTGCCACACCTACAAACCGGAGCACAGCCCTGCCCCGCACCCACACTGCACATCCCTAAAACTAACTATGTACCTCAGTATCCAACAACTGGCCGACAGAGAAATGGGGAAGCATGGATTCGAGGCCAACGAAGCAAAACAGGGACGCGTCAAACTTCTCTTAATATCCCACCACATTCAGACTGATTGGTCGGTTGACAAACAAAACTCAAACCCAATGTTTCCAGTGGCCTAAAAATACAGGAAGAGATAGGGTTGCACCATGCTGCGTCACTGAACAGTTATTAATATAATGATGTACAGATTAGACTTAAGTGTTACACAGCAATTTGGATTTGCAGCAAATAAATAGTAAACTTTTTCACAGGCATTTTGTATTAGATGGATATCGTGACGTATCACTTTAGGATTGTCAAACGCTATAAAAAAAATTTCCAGCCGACAAGACCTGATCAGCTGGAGTCATCACGCCTGCGTCGGAGGAACTGGATGTTTTAACGAGCTTTATTAGGACCCGAGCATGAACTGTGCAAAGTAAGCGCAATTTCTGGGGACATGTATCTTATGAAGACACACAAAAAAGCCTCAAGAACCCATATCCTAAACTCAACAGGAAGTCAACCATTTTGAATTTTACAGCCATTTTAGGATGATTTACACTCTCCGTACTTTAATGAACTCCTCCTAGGCATTTAGTCCGACTGACTTCAAATTTCTGCTGTGCCTTTTAAAGGCATTGAAGATGAAAAGTTAGTGCTATCTGAGTTTTCGTCAATGGGCGTGTCCGTGGCGTGGCGTCAAAGATCAACTCTTCGCCATGACACAGAAAGTTGTTGTAACTTCAGTGTACATGCTCACATCTGAACAAAACTTTACGTGCTTGATAACTCTCCCACCCCGTAGACATCTACACGCCAATACCGATTTATATTCATAGCGGCAAGTGCTATGTAGCTCCACATAGGGGACACAGGAAGTGACATATAACACCTTCATGCGGCGTCAGAACCACGTAGCAAATTCACAGCTGCAGAGCTCCAGAATATTCAACGCGGGCCGGCTCACACCCGGATGCGCTACAAGTGCGAGGGCCCGCCCAAGGCTGCTTGCAGCTTCAATGTTTTTCTAAGGGTCCCTGAGTCTGACAATATAGTTGAACTGAACGATTTATTCATGTCTGAAGTAGCATGGAACACGTAAGAAAACAAAAAACCCCAAAAAGACAACATTCATAAACTCTGTCTCTTATTTCTTACGCAGAACAATACAGCGTTTCTCACATTTACTTGTAAACAACATTTAACAGTGCTGAATAACAACAACTTTATCTTTGTAAAAATCGTGCATGAATGACCTTCGGTGTGATGGATACAGGTTTACACTGGTCTCATTAGTCAGCTGCTTCTAGGTAGCTCGCTCCACCATGACATCTCACTTACTGTCTTTCTCTCTCTGTTGCTATAGAAACGGAGAGGACGCGAGGGACTCCGTCACTGCTGTCACCACTGTGATAAATCCTTCACAACATCTGGACATTTAAAGAGTCATCAGAGTTCACATGGGAGAGAAACCGTACAGCTGTGACCAGTGTGGAAAAGCGTTCACTGCATTAGGTACCTTAAAAATCACCTACGTATTCACACTGGAGAGAAACCTTACAGCTGTGACCAGTGTGGGAAAGCGTTCACTGCATTAGGTACCTTAAAAAATCACCTACGTACTCACACTGGAGAGAAACCTTACAGCTGTGACCAATGCGGGAAAGCGTTCACTGCGTTACGTATCCTAAAACATCACCTACTTATTCACACTGGTGAGAAACCTTACAGCTGTGACCAATGCGGGAAAGCGTTCACTACATCAGGTGAACTAAAAATCCACAGACGTGTTCACACTGGAGAGAAACCATACAGCTGTGACCAGTGTGGGAGATGTTTCTTTCGCTCAGATCACCTAAAAGCACATAAACGTGTTCACACTGGAGAGAAACCGTACCGGTGTGAACAGTGTGGGAAAGGTTTCACTCAGGCAGGTACCCTAAAACAACACTTACCTAGTCACAGTGGAGAGAAACCTTACAGCTGTGGGCAGTGTGGGAAAGCGTTCTTTACATCATGTGCCCTAAAGAAACACCTACGTATTCACACTGGAGAGAAACCGTACAGCTGTGGGCAGTGTGGGAGAAGTTTCGCTAAATCACGTGAGCTTTTGGTACACAGCCGTATTCACACTGGAGAGAAACCGTACCGGTGTGAACAGTGTGGGAAAGGTTTCACTCAGGCAGGTACCCTAAAACAACACTTACCTATTCACACCGGAGAGAAACCTCACAGCTGTGGACAGTGTGGGAAAGCGTTCTTTACATCATGTGCCCTAAAGAAACACCTACGTATTCACACTGGAGAGAAACCGTACAGCTGTGACCAGTGTGGGAAAAGTTTCACAAAATCCAGTGACCTTATGGTACACAGCCGTGTTCACAGTGGAGCAAAACCGTACTGGTGTGGGCAGTGTGGGAAAAGTTTCTCTCGATCGGGTCACCTAGGAAGACACAGCCGTACTCACACTGGAGAGAAACCGTACTGGTGTGAAACATGTGGGAAAACCTTTTCTACTGATAGAAGCCTTAAACGCCACCAACGCATTCACACTGCTTAGTTTAGAAAAGTTTTCAGCGCCAAGTGAGCCGTTTCCTCAAGCCTCCTCTTCGTGCTGTCTTTGTAATAAGCCTGAATGTAAACCTCCTCGGGGTGGGGTGGGGGGTAATATAAGGTAAAGAAAAATATAGGCTTAAAAATATGGGGATTATTGGCAACCCACTTTTGCATTTTGCAGAGAAACAGAGAGAGAGATGTTATCTGGTATGACGTCAACAGACACACAGGAAGTGTTACATTATGAAGCGACAGTTGACGCACCACTGCAGTTGTCCCTCACGAACATTAAGTTTCAGTTTCGATCCACATGCGGCGCACTTGAAAACTGAATCACGGGCGACTTCATGACTTTTTTTCCTCTTGTGTCCGCGGGGTATTACATTTTGATTTTGAAATATAAGACTTTTTAAGACCTTAAAAGTCTTAAAGAGGTGGTATTATGCTTTTTGGTTTTTCCACTCTCCTTTGTTGAGTTATCAACATATTTATAATTAAAAAAGTGAAAAAACCTAAAGTCCAGCCCAAAGGGAGTTCCCATCTCCCACAGAAAACTCTGCTCTGAACCGCTTGAAAACAGCTTGTTTGTTTACGGTCTTTTCGCTGACCCGCACTTCTCTGCTTCTGATTGGCTAGTAGTCACTAACTAGAAACTGCTCATGTGTAACTCCCAACAAAGATCATTTAGAGACCAGATGTATCACTCCATAGCTAAAGTTTTGAAAATGAAACCATGTAAACCTGTTCTGGTACAACCTCTAAATAGGATTTTGAACCTGAAAATGAGCATAATACCACCTCTTTAAATTCACTGACGTTTGTGTTCTAGGTCTTAAATAATAACTAAACGGGGGTTAAGTAGTGTTGCAGGACGCACAAATGAAATGTAATTATACAGAAGGGAGGTGGTTCTCATGTTTTTATATTCATTTCTACAAATGTATAAAGTAGTAAAATAAGACGCAAGGCAAATTAACAGTTTTATCTGTAATAATTATGCAATCATATTAACAGTGTTTTCCTGCCAAAACTGCTAGGTACTGCGCCATGAATGTAAAATCCTTGTGGAGAGCATCTTAGCTTTTGGGGTTTGTTTAAAGTCTCCTCTAGATTTTCCTACTTATTATTTACAGATGTGGTAATAACAATGTTCCAGAATTACATGGAATTGCAGAACAGAAAAATACCATTTTCAGACACGAATGCGGGATTTGAAAAAGAAGACAATAACAAAGTAATGGCGCTGCAGAAGCAGCTGGTAGGTAACCACAGCTCAGTGCAGCAAAAGTTGAACATGTGATGTTGGTGGTTAAATAAATGTTTTTGTACAAGTTATTCATTGAAGCGGAATTTTTAAAAATAAGCATTTTATTAATGTTTGTTTCTACAAAGATCCATGCCCACATTTTTATTGTTCTGTATTCTTGTATTGTGATATTTTATTCTGTTTTATTCATTTTTATATGCAACATTTGTAGAAATCCTCAATAAACAGATGCCTCAATCATGCTCGTTGTTTGTGATTTTCTATTTGAGCCTGAAAGTGTTACCGGACGTGCCTACGAGTCTAAAAATGACACCAAGGGTTCTTGACCATTTTACTGGGGCACAGCACTTGAATTCTGGGTCATGTTCCCCAGTAAAAAGGGTCTAGCGGTACCTACGGACAACAGTAACTTTATATTCTGACCATCATGTATGGTATTTTGACTGCGTCTAAACAACCCTCCTCTCCCTAAAACCCTGCTGTTGTCACACAGTGAGACCACGAGGCTGTGAACCACCAGACACCCACGTTACCAAATTATTATGATACTCAAGTCAAGATACAATATTACTGCAATTTCAAACATATTGTGATATTCTACAATACAGGGTAAACGTACCCATTAAGCTCATGTACCCATTACATCACCAACTTTGAATTTAAATTATGTAATATTTTAATATTTAAGAATATATAATTATATTTGTACTCAATATCTTAAACATTTAATGATTGTCTTAAAATTACACGAGGTTTGTAGTAACAATCGGACAATTGAATGAGATATGAGTATCTGTTCCTGCTTGCTGGTGGCCTTTTTGAAAGCTGTCTGAAAACTGATCAGAACACGAGGCCTCTAAATTAATATTTTTCAGATGTTTTAACCTTTATTGTGGGTATGTATCACTTTTTAGTGCATAATTAAGAGATGAATGTTTAGAAATATGCAAAAGATAAAGTGGGACTGAGCCTCTTGCTAATTAGTGACATGAGCATCATGGCCAGTGGGCCGACATTTCTCAGTAGTGATCGGGTATGTTTCCCTAATGGTATCGCACGAAGGAGAACGTCACTGCAACAAGGGTAAAAAACTAAAACAAGCAAAGTGCAAACGCCTTTCGGCATTGAAACAGACTTCAGAAGTTTTATTTGGTTTTTATCAGAGCAGGCCTTCAAGCTGGGATTAATAATGCTCATCGATGTAATAGCGCTGTAATCCATATTATATATTTTTATTGTATTTTATTATTTATAGTTTATAGTTTGCAGCAGTATTTTATTTTTTTTATATATATTTATTTTATATTATTTATTATTATATTATGTGTAATTTGGAAGTTAAAAAATTGATGACTGATTTGGATGTTTACAAAAGTTCATAATAAACCAGCAGCAATTTAATGTTTGCATTTTTTTCCCCTTACTGTACTAGAAATAAACCGAACCATGAATTAAAATCAGAGGTACACACTGAACTGTGTGTTTTGTGTACCGTTACACCTCTAATGTACACTGAATATAATTATAAACGCAACAGTTTTGTTTTTTCCCCCATTCATCATGAGCTGAACTCAAAGATCTAAGACTTTCTCTATTTACACAAAAGGCCTGTTTCTCTCAAATATTGTTCACAAATCTGTCAAAATCTGTATCAGTGAGCACTTCTCCTTTGCCGAGATAGTCCATCCAATTCACATGTGTGGCATATCAAGATGCTGATCAGACAGCATGGGTATTGCACAGGTTAGCCTGGCCACAATAAAAGGCCACATTAGAAGCGTTGTCTGACAACCACCAGGTTTTTGTCAGCAATCCTCCATTCCTGTGCTGCATTTTGTAGGTCAGCAACGTTCACCCCGCTGTGACTTTTGTGTACTGCTCTAGTTTGGAGAACGTGAGACAGCAGTTGCCAGTCTTCTGTGAGATAATGAGATGTAATAGTCAGGTATGAATCCACTGTCCGCGGCGTCCATTAATCACAAGTTAATGCAACCCGTTCTGCTGTTCTCAAACTTTCCTCAACTTTAAGCTTCACTTCTCTGTAGAGCTTGAGTATGGCTGTGTCCGTGAAACAAATCTGTTCCAATGTCTTTAGCAAGAAACAAAAGCCCTCATTTTCCACAACGTTGTATGGACGCAGGTATTTGCACCACAAGTAGGTGATGGCCTGAGTTATTTTCTTTGCTCGCTCTGAATTGGTTGGCGGCTTTGTCAAACTAAGTGTGTCCAGTGTTGGTTGATTTTTTCCGTGGAGCTAATTTAGCATTAGCTGTACCGTGCTTGGCTAATGGTCTCTCTGGATGGTGGCTTGTGAGATGGGCCCTCATTTTTCTTGGTATTCCCATAGTATTTTATTTTCATCCCACACTCCTATGGCACCATCTAGAGGACTGAACATTTCACCTTAATGACTTTGAAGCTGAAGAAACAAACACTCGTCTGACAGCATCTCATATTCATTGTGTTCAACTTGTTATTATAATAATAATAATAATAAATTTTATTTATAATGCACTTTACATTTCAGGGAAATCTCAAAGTGCTACAACAACAAGAGGTTAAAAACAGTTCCAGAAAATAACAATCGCAATAAAACACCGTAACAAAAAATTTAAAACCATGACTGTTAAAAGGCCTTTTGAAATAAAAAAGTCTTTAGGCCCTTCTTAAAAACCTCCAGAGTTTGTGGGGCCCTTAGGGGCTCTGGGAGGGCATTCCAGAGCCGTGGGGCGACTGCCTGGAAGGCCCTGTCTCCCATGGTGGAGAGTTTAGTCCTTGGTTGGTGCAGGCAGTGGGTAGAGGTGGAGGAGCGGAGGTTTCTTAAGGTGGTGAGTGGGATGAGGAGTTCACTGAGGTAGGCAGGGGCAGTTCCATGTATGCACTGGTGGGTAAGGAGACAGATTTTATATTGAATTCTGTATTGAATGGGCAGCCAATGGAGGGATTTCAGGACTGGAGTGATATGGTCATATTTGCGCTTCCTCGTCAGGACCCGGGCAGCGCAGTTCTGAATATGCTGGAGCTTTTGCAGTCTCCTGCCAGGGATCCCGACGAGGAGGGCATTACAGTAGTCCAACCTGGAGGAGATAAAGGCATGGATCAACTTCTCAGCATCTAGTTGTGAGAGGGAGGGGCGGAGTTTGGCGATGTTTTTGAGGTGGAGGAAGGAGACCTTACAGAGGTGACGGATGTGAGTGTCGAATGTGAGATTTGAGTCAAGTCTGACTCCAAGGTTTGTAACAGAAGTAGACAGGGGAATGTGATGACCAAAAATGGATATACTGCTGAGGGAGGAGGACTGGGTTTGATGTGGAGTACCGATCAGGATGGCTTCGGTCCTGATGTTCCAGCTCTTCAGTGACGTTCGGCTGTACAATGTTAACACTGAGTGAGATATTCAAACCAGATCCTCCATGTTTAAATAAATAAGATATCAGATAAAAAAAAGTATCCAAAGAACACTGTACAATATAAAGTAACAGGTGAATCTGCTGGATGCGGATCTGACAGGAAATCACTGAGGTTTAATTACTGGATGAGCAGATTTTATTTGTTATTGAACTTTTATGACTGTTGAAGTCATTATAAATTTTAGATTTAAAAATCAAACTACATATTTAAAGCATCAAGTTTTAGTTGTTTTTCCTGAGTCTAAACAGACATAAAAGTCAGTCTGGCTTTAGTTTCACCGAGCAGATGTTGTTTTACAGCAGCAGATACTGAAAGGAAACAATTCAAACCATTAAAAACACACATGTACAGGTATTCTCAATGATAAAGTCAGTCTGCTGACGTTAAACTGTGGAGAGATTAGAAAACCAAGTCAAGTTAATGACCTCAGTAATGTAGAGTGGATGAAACTAAATATAAACCACATGTGTGGAGAGCAGATCTCAGTGGACTCAGGTCCAGGCCTGCAGACAGGAAACACAGTCAGAAATGCTTCAGTAGCTTGTCTATGAAGATTCTCAGTCATCCAGGTCATAGTTATCCAACGAAGGTTAAAATCAAGGGCAACTGGACTTGGTTGAAGCTACTGGAAGACGTTTCGTCCCTCATCCAAAGGACTTCTTCAGTTCTGACTGACTGGCAGGGAAACTCAGCTATTTAACCTCAGTGGGGTCGTTGTCATCGATACCGCTGGTTCGTTAGTTTTCCTGGTTCCTGGTCGTTAAGACTACCTGTGGCCAAGACTGAACGACCATCGTTGGTATCTTCACCTGAGGCCAATATGTTACGTTTGTTGAGTTTCCTGGGAAGTGATGAAAGGACAGCATTGTAAGTGGGGGATAAGTGGTGGCGTAGACCCCCTCCCCTGTTCAATGACGGCTTCTCAACCCTGGTGTAGATGGCTTCCTTGACACCTCTTTCAAACCATCCATCTTCTCTGTCTAAAATGTGCACCTGGTGGTCCTCAAACGAGTGTCCTCTGTCCTTCAGATGTAAGTAGACTGCAGAGTCTTGACCTGAGGAGTTGGCCCTTCTGTGTTGAGCCATGCGTTTGTGTAGTGGTTGTTTAGTCTCCCCAATATACAGGTCTGTGCATTCCTCACTGCATTGGACCGCATACACTAGATTGCTTTTCTTGTGTTTGGGTGTGCGGTCTTTGGGGTGGACCAGCATCTGTCTTAGTGTGTTCTTGGGTTTAAAAAACACAGGGATGTTATGTTTGTTAAAAATCCTCCTGAGTTTCTCTGATACTTCAGACATGTATGGAATCACAATGTTGTTGCGTTTGACCTTCTTTTCCTCCTCCCCTGTAGTTTTGTTCTTCTTGGATTTTGTGGCTGTTTTCACAAAGGTCCATTTAGGGTATCCACAGGCTGTAAGTGCCCCCTTCAGGTGTTTCTGTTCCTTCTCTCTGGCTTGGGCGCTTGTTGGTATGTTTTCCGCTCTGTGGTGCAGTGTTCTCAAGACCCCTAGCTTGTGCTCCAGTGGGTGGTGGGAATCGAACAGTAGGTATTGGTCTGTGTGTGTGGGTTTTCTGTAAACACCAATCTGCAGGCTCCTGTCCTCTTCAATGTGTACAGCGCAGTCCAGGAAGGCCAAACTGTTGTTGTGAACATCTTCTCGTGTGAACCTGATGTTACTGTCCACAGAGTTGATGTGTTCTGTGAAGGCTTGCACTTCCTGGCTTTTGTCGTCCACATATCTGTACCAGTGGCTCGGTGCTGTTCCTCTGAAGGAGTTGAGGGCTTTATTCTCCACTTCTTCCATGTAGATGTTGGCCACAATCGGGGA